GGATTGGGTAAGAGGGCTAAGGGGAAGGGCTGCATTAGGGAATTGAACACCTACCCGACAGAGCTGTAGGGCAATTCTCTGCAGGTGGAATATCCTGATACTTGATAATAATCTTCAGAAAACAGTGTTTCTTTAAAAAAAAGATGACTGTCATGACTGATGAAACTATATGCTATCTATTTGCAGGGAAGTTCGGATATGCATCTCTGTACGGGGACCTACCAGACTTTAGCTTAGAGAGAAAACAAGCTCCATCGATCACATCAGTACCATCAGAAAGATATTGGGAGACGCTATTCAGTGGACCATCTCACAATCTTCCTCCTCTTGCTAAATTGTGTTCCACATTCCTGGAATCATTACTACAGAAGAGGAGTAGTGCAGTTGAGTGATTGCCAGTAGTGTCCGGTTGAGCTTTGTTGCAAGGCAGACTTGCTAATCTACGCTCATTGATGAAACAGCAACATTGTTGTTAGGCTTGATCCCATTGTAGCCGAGAGAGAGCTGCCTGACATGCACATGCACATAGTAATACTAGCTCGAAAGTGTGAACAGTGGGGTTGACTTATAATCTGGTCTAAGAACGAGCCAGCCGTTCAGTTAAAGCTTTCGAGTTAAAAAAAAAGATGCCCAGATTGAGTGGGTTTAAAATTTTGGTAGCACGATTAGATGTCTTGTCTGGATACTGATTTTTTTGTAGCTTGTAACTTATTGAGCCTGCAAGGCTTAAGTAGGAATACTCATACTGAATATAGATGTACGAATTCTCTTTTGACAATATTTGGTCATGTTGTGTTTAATTGTAACATTTTTAAGTGCAATAGAGTCTATTTAAATATGCTGCCAATAATTTGTTGCTCCTGTTATAGAATGAATTTTCTTTGATGTGTTACAAAAGTAGGTAAGACAATTTTAATTAGGTTAAAACTGTTTATTACTATTATCAACAGTACAAAAGGAACCAAAGATACTTCACAAACATGTGCAGAAAAAATAAAACTTAAAAAGCTGATGATGAGGTCTAGTTTTAACTCAAGGAGGGTTTGTTGTCCAATTATCTGCCTTGTTGCTATCAAACATAAGTGTTGCAGCTGCTGGAGGCAAATTTTTATCCATATTCTCATCATCATAAACATAAGTATTCATTCCCTCCAAATCAGAAGAATCTGTAGGTTTTTCTTCTTGTTGGGGTTGTTTTTGTTTTGCTGCTGCAATTTTTTGTGCACTTGAGGAGAGTTCAACAGGTTGAGAATCAGCAATCTTGCCTTGTTGATTCTCAATATTACGAGCACTTGAGAATAGATCAACAGGTTGAGAGTCAGCAATTTTTCCTCCTTCAAGAGGAGTTCCTGCTTTGTACCTTATTCTAAGAGCATCATCTTCAGATAGTCTTGCTTGAGCTATCCCATAAGTAATATCATCTTTGCTCTTTGCCATAACTTTTGCAAAAGATGACCCTTATTGTTTCACTATTCTCTATCTTTATAGGTATCAAATTGGCACTAGAAAGGACTTAGTTTAATCAGTTCCATGCTGAGTTTTACAAGCAATGATGAGCATGGCTGTTTTTGCAAGAGAGGGAGACAAGTGTTCCTACTTATGAAAACGTGGACAGTCTTTCTTGCTGCCTAATAGGCTATGTGTAGTACTACTAACTTCTTGCGAAGCAATACGTAGCCTATATACATTCAAAATTTATACTCGGTCCGGCCAAACTTCTGCGAAGCTAAATATATAGTATATATATTCTCTTTAAAAAAATCATCGTGAGTGTGAATCTAATACAAGTGTCCTAAAAATTGTCCATTCTTTAAGCAATTCAAGCTAATTGACATGGGGTATTTTCGTATTATAATGACATATTTAATGTAATTTCACAAATGACATTTTAAAACGGGTGTTTTCGTACTGTACCTACTTATTTTTGCATGATAAGTGCATCATTCCAACTTTCAAGCCATACCCAATATCATTTCCTGTTAATACCTTTTCTTCCTATTAATTTAGAAATGAAGTTTAAGGTTTAAGATTTAAAATTTAGTAAATTTATCATACAAATATAAAATTTAATTAAAAACTAATGAATTCGTCCGAATCTGTTTCTACTATTATAGCTCGTCCATGCCCTATTATTCACAATCCCACCAAAAAAAAAGAAAAAAAAGGGGACTCTTTATGATTATTCCCTCACCCATCTTTTGGATAACACTGAGAGGGAGTGGACAGACTTGACCCACACCACACCACACTAGATGGAGCTCAACTGATTTAGTCCATTTTACAAACTTTACAGAAAAAAACTGTTTCCTCTGGAACAGAATACTGTACAATTAGAGAGCAAGGAGAAGAAGAAGAGGCAGCAGCTCTCTTTTTTCATAATCAAGAATGGCATAGATTCTCTAAAAGACCCTATATTGTATGTTCTTTTGTGCTGTTTCCTTGTCTTTTTTATGATTGATTGTAGAGAGTTGACACCCAGATCATATTTTTGGTTTTTATGATACATTTCTGGTTCCATCAGACATTTTAGCTTCAATTATTTTCTTGATTTCATGGCAGTCCTATTAAATTCAGTATCCATAATAACAAATCCATCACCAGAAAATGCAAGAAATTCTTGTGGATTTTCTACCCACATACCAAAGTTCCTTCCTTTCTTCCAAAGTAGGAGCATTTCAAGAAATTTAGCTTCTTCCCATTTAAGTCCAGCTCTAAAAGAACAGGTACCAGTAGCTTCAAAGGGCAGTATTTTCACTCTACCCAATTGGAGGTCAGGCAAAAATGACCCAAGAAACAAAGAACTTAGGCTTTATGATGCATTTTTGTATTTGGAATACATGGTGGGAAAGGGACAAAAGCCTGATAAAACTCATGCAACTCAGCTTTTGTATGATCTTTGTAATTGTAATAAACTTAGGAAAGCTGCTAGAGTTATGGAAATGATGGTGAGTTCTGGTACTATACCTGATGCTGCTTCTTATACTTTCTTGGTGAATAACTTGTGTAAGAGAGGAAATGTTGGTCATGCTATGCAATTAGTTGATAAAATGGAAGAATATGGATATCCAACAAATACTGTGACTTACAATTCTCTTATAAGAGGACTTTGTATGAGGGGGAACTTGAACAAAAGCCTGCAATTTGTCGAAAAGTTGATCCAGAAAGGGCTGGTACCAAATGCATATACTTATTCTATATTGCTTGAGGCTAGTTATAAAGAAAAAGGGGTTAATGAAGCAATGTTGCTTTTAGACAATATTATTGCCAAGGGTGGAAAGCCTAATTTGGTTAGTTACAATGTTCTCTTAACTGGGCTGTGCAAAGAAGGAAGAATAGATGAGGCGAAACAATTCTTTAGAAACTTGCCATCAAAAGGGTTTAATCCTAATGTTGTCAGCTATAATATCTTGTTGAGGAGCTTGTGTTTTGAAGGACGTTGGGAGGAAGCGAATGAGTTTCTGGCGGAGATGGTTGGAGAAGATCGTTCACCATCGATTGTAACATACAATATATTGATTAGTTCGCTTGCTCTTCATGGACAACCGGATCATGCTATCAAGATTCTGGATGAAATGTACTTTGAAGAACAGTTCAAGCCAATTGCTGCTAGCTACAATCCGATAATTGCACGTCTCTGCAAAGATAGGAAAGTGGATGCAGTAATCAAGTGTCTTGACCAAATGTTAGAACGACATTGTAGTCCTAATGAGGGGACATATAATTCCATTGCTGTGCTGTGTGACGAAGGATTGGTTCATGAAGCCTTCTCAATTCTCCAAGCTTTGAGGATTAAACAAAGCTTCTCTAGTCATGATTTCTATGGAGCTGTGATTTCTGGTTTATGTAGGAAAGGGAACACATTTGCAGCATTTCAGCTTCTGTATGACATGACAGCCCACGGATTTACTCCAGACTCTTACACCTATTCATCATTGATCAGAGGATTGTGCTTGGAAAAGATGTTGGTGGCTGCCGTTGATGTATTCTACATGATGGAAGAAAATGGATATAGGCCTGATGTTGACAATTTCAATGCGCTTGTGCTTGGTCTATGCAAATCCAAAAGAACAGACCTGTCGTTAAAGGTATTTGAGGACATGATCAGCAAAGGTTATATGCCCAATGAGATAACATATACCATTCTAGTCGAAGGCATCATCCATGAAGATCACAAGGAGCTTGCATCAGTAGTCCTAAAGGAATTGCACCGGAAAGAAGTAATTAGTAGAAATACTGTTGAAAGACTTGCTATGCAATATGAGCTTGAGGACATGGCAGTATGCTGATCTTTCACAAAAAACAACGGCGTGTGGTCACAGAATGAGAAACTAACAAAGGTTATTCATCAGCAAATGCTAAATACACCAAATCAACAAAATTATTTTCATGCTGTATGTCTGATGGGAACTTTACACAACTAATAAACCTTCGGGATAATTGGTTTTCAGATATGGTAGTTGATTGATTCATAGTCGGCTTTAAATAGGTGAGTGGTGAAACTTGTTGATTCTCACTAGCTTGCTCTTGCTACTCAATTGCTGTTACAAAAATAGCTGTATATCTCCTTTATCTAAAGCTTTCTTTCTAGTTGCCTATTGTATGCTAGAACGTACAGCATTTGCTTTCTAAGTGAAACCTTACAGCTTCTTTCCCCTTGAAACATTGTATATTAACTGAGTCTTATATGTAGAAAAACCCAAAATTCTTTTCATTAGTGTCAATATTAATTTTTCTTAGGTTCAGTTCCAATTCAGTTTTCTAACTTCAACTGAACCTCCATAGTCCATATTGGTAAGAGCCTTGGGGCCTAGTGCCTTCTTCAGTCTCTTTAGTATAGTTTCTCTTGAGGAAAGAGGCAAAGCCTGGAGCATACACAAATGACACCCATCGTTACAACATGGTATGGGGAGGGTGGTGTGTACGAAGCCTTACCCCTACCCTTTGAAGGTAGGGAGGTTGTTTCCATAGACCCTCAGCTCAAATGACACCCATGGTTAGTCTAAGTAAATGTCGAGCATGAGAAAATTAGTGTCCCCCAAGGTGTATTGCCTAACATGGATTACTGAGACATTTCTTTTTCCACATGTGTGTAAACCTTTAACATATTTGAGCTAGTGGATATTTTTGTGACTTGGACTGATAAATGAAAATTTCCATCTTTTATGTTATACGTATATATTGCACAAAGTCACCAAGGTAAATTTTAGTTCTGATCAATCTTAAGTAAACCTCTTGTTGATTCTAGTAATCATGCAGTTACAATTTATTCAGTAATTGACTTATTGTACGTTAAAGTGGTGTAAACACTTGCATTAACATGATAGATGCTCTTCAAGATGATTCAGATTCAGTATGCCTTGATATTCTTGAACCAAGCAAGCACAAGCATGATCATACTAGATCAAAACCAGTCATCTGTTTCACTTCACACTTGTTCATCATCAGAACGTCACATGAAGTATTAACGTTCAAAGCCAAAATTTATTCAAATGAAATGTAGCCCAGATAAACAGAAATCCTCTTAATATTGTCAGCTTAAAAGAGAAAAGGTTCAAGATAATCTCACATATATCTTTGGTTGACAAAACTAGCAAGTTACCATAAAAACACAACATCCTTACTAGCAATACTTAAAACTAAAACTAAGCTCCTTCATAGAACATAGTAGATTAACTAATGAACAGCTTCAAACAACGGACAACCTCCATTCTTCGGAGCTGCCACAGAGATGGACAGCGAAAGTAAAAGGCTGCAGTTTCAACCAAGAAACCACCCTAGGCATCTGGACCCTGGCTGCTCTACTTAGATCTCTGTCTCATCTTTCTGCGCTTCCTCTTCAGTCTCCTCATACGCTTCTTCTTCCACTGCATTTAAAATAAAAACATTAGTGGATGTTACAACTACAAGGGTACAAGAAAACAAAACCTTAGCTGACTCCCTGCTCACAAAATTGCGGTGCCAACAGAGTTTTGACACAAACACTTGGTTGTTATCTAAAGAGGCTAAAATAGCACATCACATTGTCTCAGCTTTCCTCTAAATCTCTAAGGCAACACTCTTCAAAATATCTATATCCAAAAAATATATATTACATTCCGGGGCACACACTAGCCCAACACATTCCTTCCCATTTTTACTAAAATAAAGACTAACAAATACTTTCTCCCATGGAAGACGCAGGATTTCAGAATGTTTCTACCCCAACATTACATCTCGAAAGACCCAACATGGTCCAACTTCAAACAAATACTTGAATATTTTATTGAAAGGTGTTTGATAAGGTACAAACAAGTATGACTAGTAAAGCAGCTGAGTGTATATTAATATAAAATGCCCCACGGGTTAACAAATGCATAAAGGATAACACCTTTCCGAACCTTTTTGGCTCGGATCAAGAAGACAATGTAAAAATAGAAAGTGAGGTCCACCGAGGCAAAATATTAATTAGATTTTGAGCTCATATTTTCATTTCACACATAGAACCAAAGTTCCATAGCTCCAATTCTCACTCTCCTCCTCCTTCAAGGTAAGGGAATCCTAAGATCAGTGGCTACTCCTTCATTGATTACGTGATTCTAACATCAATTTCTCCCCAAGTTTTAGGAAAATCAAGGATCTTTCCCAAAGGATTCAAGTA